GAAGAAGAGAAGATTATGGGGAGAAGAGAAGATTATGGGGGGAGAAGAAGAGAAGATTACGGGGGAGAAGAAGCGATTACAGGGGGGAGGGGAGAAGATTACGGGGGGAGGGGAGAAGAAGACAAGATTACAGGGGGGAGAAGAAGCGGAGAACACAGGGAGGGGGGGAATAAGAGGAAAACACGGGGGGAGAAGAAGAGGAGAACACGAGGGGTGGGAGATGAGAAAGTAGGGGAGGGAGAGACCACTAAAGGAGGGAGGGGGCAGTGGAGAGACCGCTAAGGGAGGGGGGTGGAGGATAGACCACTAAGGGAGGTGGGGGGGAGAGGAGAGACCACTAAGGGGCAGGGGAGATCTCTAAGGAATGGAAGGGAGAGCTCTATAGGAGAGGGGGACAGGGAGCTATTTCACACCACGGGCACACACACACACAATGCATCCCTATACACACAGAAACACAACATGCTTCCCTTACACACAGAGAAACACACAATGCAACCCTTACACATAAAGACAATGCATCCTTTGCACATATACACAGAACACACACAATGCATCCCTTACACACACATGCAAACACACACTGTTTCTCTTACACACACACACAAACACAATGCATCTCTTACACACACTCAACACACCCCTTACAGACACACACACTGCATCCCTTACATACACAGAAACACACTTTGCATCCTTTATGCATACAAACAGATTCACACAATGCATCCCTTACACACAACAAGAAACACACAATACATCCCTTATACACAAACACTCACTGCTTTCTATCCCTTACACAAAAACACACTGCTTCCACTACACACAAACACACTGCATCACCTACACAAACTGGTATCCCTATACACTACATTCTGTAAGCACACACATTAGATCCTCTACAGTAACACATAACACATCCCCTACACACTCTACTCCCTGTGAGTTCATGGGTGGAACATGTAGGTGAACTTATGGGTGGGCTTTATGGGCATACTCACCGTCAGGCCCTGGGGCCCAGACCTTGAGCTATGTAAGAGGCCCCCAAAAAATGGAGCTGCTTCCCGTTCTCCCAGAACATTGAATTTTGTGACCACAGTTGCAAACAGCCTCCAGAGATCCTGTTCTAGACCAGTGGAGCCAGACTGCAGCCAGAGCCCATCACCATCCTCATCTGATTGTAAGTAGGCAATCTAGTATATTATTAGTGACACTAATCTCTAATTTACCTCACATTAAATGGACACTATAGTCCCCAGAACCACTGCAGTTTAATAAAGTTGTTCTGGTGTCTATAGTTTGTCCCTGCAGGCTTTTTAATGTAAACACACACTGTGTGCAGCACTGGCATTAGTTCATATGGGTGGGCCATTGCGATGTTCCGGTGGGGGGGGGGGCGGCAAATCTTTCTTTTGCCTAGGGCGGCAAAAATCCTTGCACCGGCCCTGTGTGGGAGGTAACTGTTACACTATTGGCTACTGTTATAATTACTGTGGATCCCTCCCTTGCATGGGAGAAAGCTTTAACCCCTTAAGGACCACACTTTTGGAATAAAAGGGAATCATGACATGTCACACATGTCATGTGTCCTTAAGGGGTTAAATGAAGGTTGTGTGATTAAGAGTTCAGTTCTGCTCCTGATGCTGTGTGTTGTCCAGTCATTGGGATCTGCATGGGGATATTCGTGGATTGCCTTGCTTGCTGTGATTATTATTCTAGGGTATTTTATTACTTGTTCCTGAGCCTCACTGGGATCTTTAGTGGAGTTAACCTGTGAAAGACCAGCTCTCTGCTACATAAATGAATGCGTGATTATGCATTATTAATTCAGTGTAATATTTAGAAATATGTTTTGTGACGAGAGCAATCTCGCCACATTGCATTGGAGAAGCCTGGTTGCTCGCCTGCTGCCTTTGGACTATGGCCCCATTTTAAAAGACATTGTTTTTCCCTGCAGAAAAGACTTATTCGTGCTTTTCTGCCTGGTGTTCGGTAGATTCAATCTACCGAACAACAACACGAATGACTGGACGACCTGGGAGCTGGAGTGTGCCGGCAATTAGCCTCCCTGAAGCTGTGGTTAACCGCAGCTTAATTGACGAATGCTGGGTGGCCGCCATTCGTATCACGAACACGAGGTCGCGGCCATTTTAAACATGCAAACGCACAGCGGTGTTCAACGCTTAATTCATGGAACTGAAATCAGACACAGTTTTGCGCGAACACCGCTGAAGCCGTCGACCTCCCTTCTTGTTCGGTGAAAGTGCATGAACGGCCCGGTGTTCGGTAGTTTTGCATGAATGTGTTATACCCCAGATAGGAATCCCATGGAGCCCATTCGCATGAAACTGACTGTGTAAAGACTTTAGCTCCATGGCGATTAAACTGTATTCGTGTGGTCTGAGCGCCATTCGCTTAATAATGTGTGCTCAGACCTGAGCTATCTGGGGATATGTTAAATGTATGCTTTTAATGTTATGTGTCTCTCATAGTGTATTTTAATAGTAATTCGTGTGTTAGTATCCCCACGTGCATAATGGCGATTTGCCTTTGTCTTGGGAGATAATTGAATTACTTCTCAATTATCTCCAAGGCAGAGGGGAGGAAGCCAGGATGCATTGTGGGAATATAATGTGACTGTGTGTCCTATTTGTCTACTTGTCTGTCTTTTGTCACAGTCTCCCATTTGGTCCCCTAGGGGAGTGTCCACCAGGTGGGAGACCTTCTTAAATACTGGGCAGGTAGCCCTCATTAAACAGACCACTGCTTGACCCTCAACACAGAGCCTTGTCTCGTCTTTGGGGGGATTTACTGAACGCTGATAGAGACTGATTGCTAGGAGTGGAAGCCGCTTGGATGCTTTTCCTATTCGTCTGCTAGCAGTGATTCGTATGGTTCCAGTTCGTGTGTTTGGAGTGCTATATTGGATGCCGTTCGGGAGTTTGGAGCATTCACTTATTGCCGGTTCGTGTGTTTGGTGTTCTACAATAGCTGTGCCTGCATCTCTGGAAACAGGTGTTCTACAATAGCTGTGCTTGCATCTCTGGAAAGAGGGACGATCGCCTAAACGGTTTTTACCCCTTGTGTGCAAAACGTCGTTTATTCTGTCATCTGTTATGTATCCACTTCAAAGTTGAAGCATATATGGTATTTTATAAGAAATAAAATATTTGAAGTTTAGCTATGATTTAATTTTTCTTCTGTTTATTATTTTACCACAATAAACAAACACTTTAAATACATCAATGTTTTTATAAGCATAATGTTACCAGTAGAAAAATCTGCAGGTCATCGCCTCCCAATCCCATCTATGAATAAACTAGAATAACTTTTTATTATAAAGAAATACAAAACAAAATATAGATTTAAACTCCCACATACCTTCCCCTTGGCTCTGATCATGGTCTTCAACAGGTGAAGCAACAAATGTCTCTGCTTGACCTTCATTTATTCCTACTGACTGCAGAGAAGAAAAAAACGCTCTCACCCTTATTGTGCAGGAACACAAAAGGTTCATGAGGTAAAGGTCTGCATTTAAGCAACTGGAGAGCATTCTGCTTCTAGCAGCCAGGTAGAGAGAGGGACGAGAGGAAGTGTATTTGTTATACTGTAGTGCATATATTCAGGGTATAACCACCTACATGGTTTGAATAATTTTTGGTTTGTTTGTTTGTTTGTTTGTTTGTTTTTACCAGGCAACTGTACATTTTGTGAGGTTATACAAAAAAATTAATGAATGCATGAATTCAACATTTTATTTTTTTGTTTTCTTTTTCAATTTATGCACAAGAATGCTGCTTTTGTCCTTTTTATATTATTATTATTAGCGTTTATATAGAGCTTTACAATGTTATAAAGATGGACCTTTAACAATAAATGAGACAATTACAAAATGTTACAGGAACAATAGGTTGATGAGGACCCTGCTCAAATGAGCATACAATCCTAGCTAGATATTCATTCAATTTTTAAATAAATGTTTTCTAAAACCCTAGATAGTAATGAAAATTAAAATATGTGTTTTAAATGGAAAATAAAATCCAACTGTTGTATGTGTCTTTATTTGTCTGGAAGTGCCTAGACACAGAGTGGAAAAGTTCAATAATGCAACTTCCTTCAGACTCAAACATAAAAATAGAACATGTGTGGATTCCCATGTGATACCGTAAGAAGAATAAAAATAGTTTAGATTTCTGCTCTCAGTGCCATTAACTGAAAATTTCAGCTGTCACTATGGACATGAATTTTCCAAGTGACTGGAGAGTGACCCGTTGTCTGGTGTTCACTTATGAATGCCAGACATAATACGACTTTAAACAGCATTGATGACAGTGACCTTACAATAGATGAGTCAACTACATGTCCTTCATTTTTTAATGTAGACGTGATATCAATTTAAGTTATACTAGGAATTATAAATTTAAAGTCATTTCAATAGTCACTGCTTCAAGAATGAGGACCACGTTCATAATCACTTAAGGATCTCAATCTGTTCCCTTATCTGTTTTTGCAACTACAATTTCATAATGAAACATTACATTGTATACAGGCTGGTTTGCTTTGGTATATAACTTTGTTGGTCCTTAAAGTCAAACTGTCGTTTTCAGAAAAAGTACAAACGTACTTAAACATATTCTTGCCTTTACTTTGCATCAATGTTGTCAACCTCACCTTTCCATGATGCCTTGGTCATGGATGTTGCATCAAGCATATCCAAGTGTGCATCAAGTATTGAAATACTTTGGCAAGCTTTTCCCCTCAAAGCATGTACATTAAAATAAAAGAAAATACAAAGAATTATAACAAGTAGCTACACCAATAGCCATTTTTAGTTAGCTATTAGATTCTACTAGTATAACAAAAAAAAAGTGCTTCTCTTTGCAGGGTTAAATACAAGCTAGTAATCTCCAGAAAGGCTGTTGATGAAGTTGTTTTATTGCCACAAATGTCACTGTTAGTGACCGATAATTAGCAGCTGACAAATGTTATAATGTCAACCGATGATAGGAATTATCCTCATCTTGAATGCAGTCATTAATTTAACTTTATAATTTTTTCAGATAGGTATTCTATATTTGATATTTAATTTTAACATTTGGCGTGTTACATAACACCTATGCATGGTAGGTGCCCCTCCAATTTAGAAATAATGACTTAACAATTCTCCACTTAGCAGTCCTCTCTTGTCGTTGATCCGCTCTACACCAATAAGAGTGTCAGTCTCTATTCTGATGTGGTGATTGTCAGGGCCAGATTTACATGTCAGATGACTGTAGGCATCCCCCTCCCCACAAAAAAAGCACATAACATGAGTTTAATTTATTAATTGGACACTACAGGCATAAGACAGCTAAATATGATAGATAGACAGACAGACAGATTTGATAATTATACATGTCTTTCCTTATGTGCATATTTCTGACAAATGCAAAGTCAGATCCTTCGGCATAGTCTCTAACCCTTCCCTGAACCCCATTAAGACACAGACACCATTTTGCTGTTGGAAAATTATTAGTCCACAGCTTTATTAAATTATTATAAAATATAACAAAATAGGGTCATTGCCAACAAATATAATATATTTAAAACAACCTCCACGGATATATAAATTACCCCTGCAATGACCCCACGTAATAACAATATATGACAATATAAATACCCCCCAAAAAATATAACATGGCCAACCAAATGGCCCCATTACCAGCTGGCTAAACTGTAGGGGTGTACCGAGACACCCCTACCCCCCCAGGTCCGGAGCCACCGATGAGCTGGAACCAATTGTAACACTGAATAGTACACAATAAACCTAGCCATGCCCCCTTGCTAGTCCTTCGACACCCCAACTTAACCTTGCCATTCCCCGCCGGTGTAAAAAAAACAGGAGAGCAACCAAGAACAAAAAGGGAGAGTGGGTGGGACAACTAACAGGTAAGATTAGGTTAATTAAAATAGCTACTAACTTAAATGACTGAAATATACATCCCTACTAAGTCCCACCCCATTACCTGACTGACAGTTAATTCAAATTGATTGCTATGCCTACCTCCTGGCCTTGTCAAGGCTCATTCCCTTGGCTGTGCTGTTCCATGGACTATGTTCTTGCAAAGCATTGTGTTTGAACTGGTGAGTATAATATGTGTATCCAGCTGTGTAATTGCATGCAGGGTCGAAGTCATGTTAGACATGGCAGGGTTAAGAGAGGTTTAAAG